GGTTGTGTTTCCTCAAGGTTAAATCTCCTTGAGGTACACACTGGATCTCCCCATCCTTCTGCATTACCCACCAAGTACACCCAGGTCCTTGAGAAAAGACAATCTTACTAAGGGGTTTACCTTTTCCTAAGGAGGAAGAACACACACCGCCTTCCCCAGCAACTTCCCTATGTGCACTACGGGGACCTTATCTCCTCCCACGGTATGCAGGGCCTTTGTTTGGGCAGGACCAGGACAGTTAGCAGATCCTCTGGTGGCTTCTGCTAAATTTAAATCCCAATGCTTCCATGTCCCAGTGGCCAATGTTCTCAGCATAGTATTTAACAGCCCGTTATACTATCCAATTTTTCCGGAGGCTTGTGGGTGATAGGGGATGTGATACACCCAATCAATGCTGTGTTTCTCAGCCAAGGAGTCTATGAGGTTTTTTCGGAAATTAGTCCCATTGTCTGACTCAATTCTTTCTAGGCTACCACGTTGCCATAAAACTTGCCTTTGAAGGCCTAAGATGGTGTTTCAGGCAGTGGCATGGTTTACAGGTATGTTTCTAGCCACCTGGTAGCTGCTTCCATCATGGTATGTAACACTTGCCTTGGCAGGTTCGTGGCAGTGGCCCAACATAGTCAATTTGCCAGTCCTTGCCACATCAAAAACCCAGCCACCACGCTCTATTCCAGGAAGACTTTACTCACATGGCTCACTTGAGTGTGTCAAATTTTTCACATTCATGGGTGACCTGCATGATGGGCACCATGGTCAGGTCCATCCCTTGATCACAAGCCCATCTGTATGTTGCAACTCTCCCTAGATGTCCCAACATTTCATAGGCCCATCGAGCTACAAATAGCTCGCCATTATGCTCCCAGTCCACATCCACCTGAGCCACTTCAATTTTGTCAGTCTTGTCTACCTGTTCATTGTTTCAATGTTCTTATTGGTGTGGTTCTTGGGCATATGAGAGTCTACATGATGTACCTTTAGAGCAATGTTTTCTGCCCAGGCAGTGATGTCCTGCCACAATGCAGCAGCTCAGATGGGTTTATCTCTGCACTGTCAGTTGGTCTGCTTCCACTGTTGTAGCCACCCTCATAGGGCATTTGCCACCATCCAGTATGGAGTCAGTATGGAGACAGCATACTGGCCACTTTTCTTGTTCAGCAGTCTCTAGGGCCCGCTGGATGGCTTTCACTTCTGCAAACTGATTTGATTCACCTTCTCCTTCAATGACTTGTTGTGTGGGACTCCACACAGTAGCTTTCCACTTCCGATGGTTTCCTACAACATGATAGGATCCATCGGTTAACGGAGCATAATGCTTTTCATCTTCTGATAACTTATATGGCAGCGCCTCTTGGGCACAAGTCGCTTCCTAAGGCAATGCTCCAAAACCTTCTGGCCAGTCCATGATCTCTTCTAGGATTCCTGGGTGGTTGGGGTTCTCCATTTGATCCTGTTGCATGATCAATGCTAGCCAATTACTCCATGTTGCATCAGTGGCATAATGTGTAGAGGGGATGTTTCTTTTAAACATCCAGTGTAGTACAGGCAATCGCTGTGCCATGAGGAGCTGTGCTTCTGTACCAACAACTTCTGAAGCAGCTCAAACCCCTTCATATGCTGCTAGTATCTCTTTTTCAGTGAGGGTGTAGCAGGCTTCCAGTCCTCAATACCCCAAAACTCTAGAGGTCAACCTCGAGTTTCACCTGGTGTTTTCTGCCAGAGGCTCCAGGTGACGCCATGCTCCCCAGCTGCAGTGTAGAGCACAATTTGCTCAGCTGTTCCTGTACAGATTGGCCCAACAGCTACCACACAAGCTGTCTCCTGTTTGATCTGCTCAGAGGCTTGCTGTTGCTAAGAGCCCCACTCAAAATAGTTCTTCTTTTGGCTCACTCAATAGAGAGGGCTCACAAACTGACTATAACCTGGAATATGCATTCTCCAGAATCCCACAAGGCTTAGGAAAGCTTGCATTTCTTTCTTGTTACCTGGTGGGGACATAGCACTTATCTTATTGATCACATCCTTACAGATGTGACAACATTCATCCTGCCATTTCACTCCCAAGGGCTGGATCTCCTGTGCAGGTCCTTTGACCTTGCTTCTTTTTATGGCAAAACAAGCTTTCAGAAGGATCCGAATTATTCTTTTTCCCTTCTCAAACACTTCTGCTTTGTTGCCTTACACAGTGGTGGTTTTGGTGTATCACAGATGTTCAGGGGCATCACCCTGTTCCAGCGCAGTTTAGATCAGTCCATGACAAATGGTAGGACTGTGCTTCCACTGCCGGGGTAGTTGATCCCAGGTGTACTGGACACCTCTCCATGTGAAAGCAAACTGTGGCCTGCACTTTGCTGCCAAAGGAATTGTGAAAAACACATTGGCAATATCAGTTGTAGCATACCACTTGGCTGCCTTTAACTCCAGTTTATATTGGAGTTCCAACATGTCTGGTATGGCAGCACTCAGTGGTGGCATAACTTCTAGCTACACCGTTCTAGCTATGAATACAAAGCACAGGATTATGTAGGCTGCTCTGGGGAAAGTTAACTCCAGCCCAGCCAGAACCAAGTGCTTCTTAAGCTAGAGAAGGACAACACATGAAAGCACAGCCATGAACTACTTTCTTGAACCATTCAGCAACGCCAGCCCTCTCCTACACCCACACAGCCTGGAACGGGAGGCATAACCTCCTACACATGGTCTATATACTGCTTTACCAGAGACAATATTCACACACTCTGTGAGAGACAAGAAAAGAAAAAAGTAGGCAAAAGAAACCTGTATCTTACAGCTGTCTGTCCAGCTGTAAGATTTGGTTGCTGCTTAAAAAAATGCCTTTCAGAAAATACTTCCAAACCAAATAAACTTGGCAGAGGGAAACAGAAAATCAAATGTATAAAAAATAGGAAGATACTGAAAAGGTTAATAAGACTTCTATATAGCAATAGTGAAAGGCTTTAAAACAAGTAGTGAGAAATTATTTATGTGCAGCAGAAGCAGTGAATGGAATTCAACCAGATCTCCATTGACTATGACAGGAGCTTAAACAACTTGTGCTTATGTAAATACCAACTTGTAGTTACTTTTAAATGTCTCAATATCAAAATTCATCCCACACAGGATATCCATAGATACGCTAATAGGTCTGTCTCACTATCAAGACATAATGGAAGCAAGTCAAGAGGGGAAAGAAACACTGAGAAATATCTCGTCTTTTGTAGCATTCCTCATTGAAAAGGTTCATTAGCATATACTAACTCATTTCGGGAAATTAGACTGAAAAAGACACAAAGACAGAAGTAAGTTCTAGAAAATGTTCACAACTTACAGAAAGCAAGCTGTAGGTGCAGAGGACCAGAATACCAAGAATGAAGGTGTACACCGTTTGTAATTATGTAAATCTTTGTTCAAATGAACTGTACTTGAAGACTTGAGAGTCACATTCTCTAAAATAGCTCTAAGCAGGTTTAGCATTTTTCCTATCCTCTCAAGTAGATTTTATAGCCCAAGCTCAATTGTGCATCACTGTAGTTATATTAGTTTAAAATTATTATGGACATATTCTATGAGCTAGCATCATATTTTGATTACAGAGCAGACATCTTCAAAGCTTAATAATGTCCACAGTAAGATTCAACAATTTCTGGACCCAAACCAAATAATTACAAAGAAAGCATAAAAAAAAGTATCTTATTTAATAGTGAGATACAGCAAACTACACTTAACAACTGGGATTCTTTAGTTTATTCAGTTTTCTGTGAAAAGAGGTGAGAAGTGAGAGACCACATATAAAAATGAAAAATTCATTCAGGTTAGTCAGGAACTGGCAGAAGTGTCATCAAGTTTATGATAAATGCTGCTATTTGGGATATTCAGGACAATGAAAAAGCAGCTGAATCCAGGGCTATCCAGTGCTAAATGGCCTTTGGAAAGGCCCATCAAAATTTCAGCTCCTAAGGTACTTTTCTGAATGGAAAGCTGTTCTTAGCTGATCTGTGGTGAGAAAAGAAAAGGAGAAAAGATGATAGAAAATAGCACTGAAATTGATAAATAACATATAGAAACCCAACAGTCTGTCTGCAGTCAGCTTTGATTGTCGCCTCCAGGAAAGGAATGAGAAGTGATTCAGGGCATTGCTCTAAACGTTATTTTAAGGGCTATTAAGGCCTTACTATGCGAAATCTTGAAATCAGCCCCAAAAGCCTTTCAAGCAAGACTGTAGATTTGCCATAGTCAAGAAAAGGTAAGCAAGCAGGTCAGCATTTAATTCCTGCTAAAACCTGATGGAGATTGAGACCTTTCTCTTCCCGCTTTGCTTAGACAGTTCAGATCTCAGGGACGTTTTCCATGCACATCTAAGACATGCTGGCAGGAGCAAGTACAGGCTCTGAACATGCCTGGTGGTGATGCTGGCTTCAACAGAGCACTCACGGAGAAGTAAGTCATCCACACCCTGACACAACCAAAAGCCAAGCCATCCACTTCCCAAAAGGTGCCTTCAACAAATGGCTGAAAGCCAGTCTAAATGCTTACTTTGCAGCAGAAACTGGAACACTGCATAGGAAAATCTGCAGTAATGTGCACAGGATCAGAAAGCAAGAAAACCGGACTTTCTGATGGTATGGTTAGGATAGATATGTGGGACAACAGTAATCCTAAGTCATGGTCTCTGCACCAAATACAGTGAGCATATGTATCACAGCAAGAGTCTATGGGCTCTCTATCTCAAACTGCTGTGTTGTAATTGACAACAGTGAGCCTACTCAGTTCTTTCAAAGAAGAGGTGCCTGCCAGAAGTCCTGAAGCACACCCTCTGCTTGGCTTTTCTAAATAATATGTTCTAGGGGTGAACTAGACAGCATCTTTGCCTCTCCCCATGAAAAAAAACGAAGCTTTGGAAAAACCAAAGTACACTTGGGCATCACTTTTCTTTTTTCTTCTTTTTTTTTTTCTTTTGTTTTCCCCTGAAGGCTTCACTCTCTCTTTCCAGAGAAGAAAAGATGTTTGACAGTCTTGGATTCATTTCCATGATTTGGTGGTCTATGATGCTATTTCATCCCTTGCATGCTGATATCCAGTGTACGGGGTGTAAGTATGTTTTCGCAGATATAATATGAGAAACAGGGTTTAATTCTTCATTTATCAGAGATATTTGCAATTAATTTGGCAATTTTCATCTAAAGCCTGACAGATACTATCCTTTGCATTCAACAAAAAGCAATGGCATATACTTACTGAACTTATTCTGTAACATTTTCAGCTGAAGCACAAGAATCACCTATTACGAATGTGACAATGAATTGGAGAAAAATGGAACTCTCCTGGGAGAGCAGCAAGAATTTCTCTAAGTACAAATGTACTGTCATGGGCAGGGACACGGGAAGTGTACTGAAAGAGGTAAACTTGCTATTTGTTGAGATAAATAATTGCACCTTTTTCTTTACCTTTTATCAATTTCACTTACTTTGAAAAAATGAATCAGTTGCAGGTAAAATCTGATCAGTGATTGTTTGCAGTCTACAGATGGATCTGTTAGGGGCTGTGGAAAGCCGTCATCAATGCCAAGGTGCATTTACTGCAGGAGGAGCATCCTGTGCATACCACAGAACTGAAGTTCTGGCACCAAAGTGGAAAGGAGGCGATAGCCTGAACTGGGCCTACATTGAATCATCAATAGGGAGGTAGCTGCTGAAAAAAAGGGCTATGAGACAAAGAGAATTTAGAGAGACAGAGCAAGAGACCCTTCAAATAAGGAATTCCCTAAACACTGCCATGGATTTTCGTTATCTCAAGTTCTTCACTTGTTTCCCAGTAAATTGGATGAAGCCTGTAGCTCAGGTTGTTACAAGCCCACATTATCCAAGAAGAAAAGTAGGAAGCTTGACAGAAAGAAAGCTAGAAACGGCCTATTTAGCCTAGCAAAGCAGATGCCTTAATTAGAAATACATATTACAAAAGCACATCACATCTTTATTGAAGATTATAATGCCATAGACACCTGTCTGACCCCTGGGGAGGTCAGATGAGGACTTCTATTTTGCTTAATCCTTGATTAAATTCCATTGTGGTTCCCCCATTTATTAACCATCTTCTGTTACACCACTGGGGTACTATTAGCCTTCTCTAATAGTTGCACACTAGTGTAGCATCCAACTCCTCAGCTGCAAAGCTTTTTGTGTAGTTATGCTTTTGATCACCCAGCTCCATTCTACATCACCCTCAAGTGGTAAAGGAGAAAGTTAGCACTTAAACCTAAACCACATACATATACACACAAGATTTTGGCCCTGCAAATTGAATTTCTGAGTTGCACTTCCATAGCCAGCATCATCTAACACCACCAGAAGAAAAACAGAGAAATAAACCACCAACATGTTCTTTTTCAGGTGAATAGTCCACTATGCAGGGTTTCAGTGGAACAACACCTGCCTCTGCACAAAGGCGTATTCTTCACCATTGAAGTGCCAAACACAAACATCTCAAAAAACTGCAACTTTATTCCTGGAGGTAAGGTCTATGGTCTGGGTAAGGTTTTCTCCATTTGCAATCTTTTATAGGTAATCATTGCCTTAGAAAACAATTCCTTACATGGTAGGTAACTGCTTTAATTTCTGTTAAAAATGATTTTTTGCAGATCTTCTGAAATTATTTGCTCGGTGAAGAATGTTTCCACAATTCTGCAAGAGATGCATTACTACAAATCTATCAGTAATTGCATTACTCTCTTTCATACTAGGGCTCCAAAATGCCACTAAATTACAGTGGTTTAAGGGTGGTTTCAAATAAGTGTTCTGACTATTACAAATTAAGCGCCCATTTCTTTATTAAATGCTTTTCTGCTGGGCTGTTGGTGAGTTTGTCAGGAGTCAGACCACAGAGGTAGCTAAAGGCACAGTCTGGGGATCAGTGAAACCCATAAAATGGGAGGAGAAGAGGAAAAGAAATACTGGTGATAAGCAACAAGGGGCAAACTGAATACAGCAATCTCCTAATCTGGCCCTGGTGTGCACGTGCATGCACACACACATACACACGGGTTCTCTTGGTTGCTGTGCACCCATTGAGTTGAGGCAACTGTTTACAAAGATATTCTGAGTCTGCCCTGTGTGAGAGTTAAGCACAGTGGGATTTAGGCAGATCCTACGTTCATAATTCTAAACCTGAAGTTTTTATGTCCCTTTTTCCCCTTCCTTCTGAACTCAGAGTTCTCCACTAAGATTTCTGTCACACAGCTGTGCGTAACTGGGGTATTTCAGACTTGACAGAGGTGATAAGATTAGCAGCTTGCTCCTATCTGAGCAGAGAAAACGCTCCCTACTCATCTCTTCCTGGGGACTTGACAGAGGAAACTCTCTCACAGTGACTCTCAAAATACTGGCCAGGACACACTGCTTCCTAAAACCTCTTGCTTTTGGTGTTCCTCCCCAGCTGGCCCTAGCCTCCAAGCATGCAGAATCCCCAGGGGAATCCCCCCCTGCTTCCACAAGGGTGTCCTCAGTACTGGGGGCTGGAGGGGGCTGGAGGCAGCAGGAGAGGAAGCTTCCACCCTTTCACTGACGTTGAGGCACACCACAGAAAGAAGCAGGAAATTGGCTGAAGGAGAAGAGAGAAGGAGGCTGAGCATGCCTGCACAGCCCAGCCACGAGGCAGCTTCCAAAGAAACAAGGTTCCCACTTCAATGTGCTCCAGAAAAGGAAGAGATAAAGTCGCTGTCGCCCACGTCAGGGTGGAAAGTTCTAGCTAGGAGGCTATTTGATCAGAGGGCAGAAAAAAGCCCCACCTTACTTTTAAAAGACTTAGCTTTTTAAATGCTGTGTGTAAACACTTCAGGAGTGGATTCCTGGGCATTAATTCCAAAAGGAGAAATACTTCTCTCTGTAGCACCAAGGATGATGCTAAAAGGCAATGTGCCTTCCTTTACCTGTGTGACTGCAGTTCAGAGGTAGTCAAAATAGGGTGAGAGTCCAGCTTTCTCTCAGTTGTCATGCCTAACCCAAACAATAACCAGCTGGAGTTGCAGGTGTCTAACATAGCTAAGTGTGTGCCAAGATCCTCCAGCTTGAAGCAGTCACACAATTTTTCCTCACCACAGATATTCCTGTGTTTGCAGGTATGAATGGGTCGGCCATTGAAAATTTCTCCTGTGTGATTTATAACATTTCCCTCATGAACTGCACTTGGCAGGCAGGTAGGGATGCTCCAGGAGATACCCAATATTTTCTCTACTGGCAGAACTCGAGGTAAGTAGGTCTGCTTGAGTCTAGCGAAGTCTGAATTCTCATTCAACGCATCGCACTGCCCACGTTTAACTAAAATACCTTGCTATATACAGAGATGATGATGCAATGGAATGTGAGCTTTACATTAAAGATGAAAATGGCAGAAACACAGGATGTAGATTCAAAAATGTGAGCATAGTGACTGAAAAATCTTACTTCCTTGTGAACGGGTCTAGCAAAGACTCCCTGATCCAGTTCTATGATGAGTACATTCAACTGTATGAAATTGGTAAGTAAGCGAACAATTTTATTTTCCTACTGTTTTATAGAATAAGGAAGCAGGTAATTTTTCTCTGAAGAGAAATGAAGAATAAAACAAAGTCTGTGGCCATCACAGAATCCTCCACTGCAGGACAGACTTCGCTCCTGATAGCTGACAGAATATAGTTCCAAAAATTAACTAAAACAAGCAAAGGTAGAGGCAGCCTGAAATAATGTCTCAGATAAGTGGTGTGAACATATCTATGGAATCCAAATGATGAAATGCATTGGTTAAACTTTCAAGGACACTTTTCTGATGGGCTCATTTTGCCATCCCTTAATTCCACACCTCTCTGAGAGCCACAAGAGCTACGTGTGCTAAAACCAGAGGGAGGGTTCAACTTGCAAATTAAGACTGTGTTAGTTAAATATGTGGGTACCTATGTGTGAGCTAGGTGTGTAAGCTCCAATAGAGATCTGGGACAGGATTCACTTGCCTAAAAACATGCCTCTAGTGCCATTTGAGACACCCTTAGACACTTGAGGCACCCACAAGGCTTGCAGATGTGGCCCAGGACCTGTGAGAGACCAGGGTCCTCCTGGGTGTCCTACGTGGTCTGAAATGCACAGTGCGAGACTGACTCCTGCCTGCAGGTGATGCAGGCTGTAAAGCTCAGAGCTATTCAGCCAAGCACGCCTGCTCCATGGTACGCCAAACAGCTTTGCAGACATTGTGGGCACTACTGATGAGGTCTCTGCTGACTACAGCAGTTAGGCACTTAGATCACACCTAGTCAACTCTATTGTAGGCACTGAAATTCCGATGACTTGGTCTTCCAACTGAATACGACCACACTACCTCTATCTTTTTTCCTGTGGAGACTTGTATTGTCAATGTGAAATTTAGATGTAGAAGAAAATGGCACTGTGATGGTTGTACTACTGAATTACATAAAATTCTTCATACTTTTTTTACATAAACTTCAGTTACTTCAGATGTCCAACAACTGAAGTGCTATATTCCCAAGTTTTGCTACTGTATTTTACTCCTGTTTACCAGATAACATTTGTTAACATCAGTAGCACACAGCTGTACATCAGTTGCCTCAACTTCACATGTATTTTGCTATAAGCACATGAGTTGTAGCTGATTACTGACCAAGTCTACATTAATTATTTCATTTTTTTTCCAGAAATACTCACTCCTCCATTAAATGTCACTGTCATTTGTACTAAAGATTGCATAATTACATGGCAACCACCCCTTACAAGTCATGTGGAAAACGTAAACTGTTTTCAGTATGAAATTAGGATACAAAATAAGGTAAAAACAATTTCTTGGTTTGTATTTGGCACCATACCTATGTACACGTATATCTATAACGTGCAAACTTCTGTTTCCTTTATTTATTAACTTCTCTCTCATAAGCTGTAGTGTCCTCCTCCTCTGGCCCTGCTGATCTCACATCCTACTACTTATGACCTTATTTCAAACTCACGAGAGGTGCAAAGCAGAAAAGCAGAGGAGAGCAGGGAAATGCTATGAGGGGTCTCTGTCCAAAGACTGGGAGAGCACTTAAGATGCTCTCCTGCATGAGTACATCTCACAGAGATGACCGTGTGATGGCAGTCTGTGATCTGCAATGAGGCCATGGCCTGGGCGACAGCCTCCAGCCCAGGCCAGAGTCCCTCATGCTTGCCCTGCTTCCCAGGGTACCTCGGCTTCAGCCACGCTGATGGCATTTTGCAGATGCTGGAAAGCTCACAACTGCCCCTCAATTTCAACATGTGGGACTGTTTTGCCCCTCGCAGCCTCCACACCTCTCCTCCACCACCTCTTCCGCTGTCTATTGCCCTTTGGCAGCCTTCCCTTAGATGCTGTCCTTCCCCTGGAGCCCAGTTCAGCCAACCTGACCCCTGCCTGTCTACACAGTGTCTGCCAAAACCTCCAGGTTGAAACCAGTGATGAAATAGAAACCACTCCTCTGAAAAATTAAATACCAGCAACTCAGGGGAAAGTTCACTCAGGCCCAGGGTAGGCATCCGCAATGGATGCGTTTGCTTTTCAGTGGGTTACCTTCTACTCTCTCTGCAGTCAGATGTGGTGTTACCCATCTGCTTCCAAGGTAGGTGACAGACAAATCATGTCCTTAAAGTCCTTCTTTCTTTCCATTTGCTATAAGAGAGGAACCTAAGATGGCTATCTATCTCAGGTGTAAACATGATTGTACCAAAAGTGAGCTGGGATTTCTCCTACGCTATGAGCAGACAACTACCGATTTACCATAGTGACCACAGGAAAAGTGCAGGGCAACACAGAGCATGTCATTTTACCATAGCTGAAGTATGTCTGGTTTCCACCAAGTACGACAGAACAGAGAGGCTGAGGTATCAAATCCTCCTCCACAAATCTCAGAGCCTAAAGGACCTGATTTTAACACCCCTTAGGACAAAGGGCAGGAAAATTCTTTGAGTCCATGAATTTGACAAGAAGGCAAGAAATACCATTCTTCCTCCCATCCCTGGGATACCTGTTTCACCATTACATGATTTCCACACATGGATAACGTCTGTGCCGTGACAAATTAGGACTTCCTATCTACCCCATTTCCCAGCTACAGCTCACGAGGTGTGACATTCATCTCACAGACTGAGACACCTTAATGTAGGTGTCTGCAAAGGAGCACAGATATCCCATAACAGTCAATGCACACCTAGGGTTCCGTGCAGCTGAGCAGTAGGTGCGTCATGCCCCTTAAGGTGCTATAGGTACTGGAGGTACCAGGGGTACCTAACATGGAGATGGAAGATATAACTCACACCTTTTGGGAGGGGCCATCAGAGGCAAGGCAGGATACCCCGTAGCTGCTAAAATGGCACTATACATCTAAGTTTTAGGCAACTCATTTGCACCCTCCCTGCTCACAGCAAAGGCTGATGACTTCCATCATGTCCTAAATTGAAAGAGCTCAGCTGACAATGAGTAATGGGGAAATACTGGTCTACTATCCATTGTTAGTGTTTCATGTAGGCATGAACAACACTGAAAGCCGGAACCCGGGTAAAATCAAGGAAGACTTTTAAGCCCTGGGGGTGCAAGTGAAAAACATTGGTGCCCAAGTTATCTTTTCTTCCATCTTGCCAGTTTGAGGGAAGGGGGTAGCCAGAAATAGGCGCATAACGCGTATCAACTCCTGGCTATGTGGCTGCTGCCGTCGTGGGGGGTTTGGCTTGTACGACAATGAGGCATTCTTCGATGACTATAACATGCTAGGGAGGGATGGAATCTGCCTGTTTAGAAGGGGCAAGGGAATCTTCAGCAACAGGCTGGCTAACTTGCAGGCTGTCTAACTTGGTGAGGCAGGCTTTAAACTGAAGGACTGGGGGGGCGGGGTCCAAAACAGAAATGCTCATGCCATCACATCCAACTGGGGAGTAAGTCAGGCCAACCAGAGCAGCGACAAATGTTCCTTAGCTGTCTCCCAAGATGTGAACCAGAAGAGCAACCACCTCAAGTGTATGTATATAAATGCACACAGTCTGGGAAACAAACAGGAGGAACTGGAGCTCCGTGCCCAGTCAGAAGGTTATGATATCATAGGAGTAACTGAGACATGGTGGGACAACTCACATGACTGGGGAATCATGATGGACAGTTATAGGCTGTTTCGCAAAGACAGGCAGGGAAGAAGAGGTGGAGGAGTCGCCCTCTATATTAAGGAAAAACTCGAATGTATCGAAGTCAACTACAGTGATTGTGAGTTCTCTATGGAATGCCTCTGGGTTAAAATCAGAGGAGTCTTCTCCAAGCAGGACCTTACAGTGGGCATCTGCTACCGACCTCCAAACCATGATGATAAAGCTGATGAAGCAATATTTGGGACACTAAAGCAAGCTTCTGGTCAACAGAACCTGGTTCTTATGAGTGACTTCAACTACCCAGACATTTGCTGGAAATACAACACAGCAGCTCGCATGTCATCCGTCAAGTTTCTGGAATGCGTAGAGGACTGTTTCCTCTTACAAATGTTAGATGTGCCAACCGGGAAGGAGGTGCTGCTGGACCTGTTATTCACAAACCAAGAAAACCTGCTTTGTAATATCTTGGTCAGTAACAACCTTGGCTGCAGTGATCACAATATTGTGGAGTTCGGGATCTGGCTGAGCATGCTGAAGGTTAGCACCAAGACAAGGGTTCTAGATTTTAGAAGAGCAAACTTCAGCTC